AAAAAAAAAAAAAAAAAGGGTGGTGTACAAATGACCGGGGTACATTAGCAGACATGGCGGCTCCGCTAATTTGTACACGTTCCCTATCCCGTTGGTACATATAAAACGTGAAAGAGCTCTTCATTTGTGCATCCCTCTGCGTGGGCACTTTTAAAAAAAACTCTTTGTCACATAATGGACGACGAAGTGATCCACAAGTGGAGCTTCCACACACCCCGACGATAGGGTTACCCATGGGCGGGAGAAAATCGTATGTGTGTGTACACTTACATGATGACCAGAGCGAAAGTCATCTTCTATGTTATTAGCTAATGAAGAGCCAATTATCCCCATTATACATAATAGAGTGAGAATAAGGCATTATTCTGCAGCTTGCCTGCATGCACAGTTGCGTTTCTGGGTGTTTGCCTCGAGGAGTACACGTTTGTAGGTGTACGTTCACGTATGGACAAGTAGGTTTAATGCGCCTGTGTGCTCGGCGCGCACAGGTAAAGGGTGCATGTACATACGCGCGTATATACACTCGTATATGTGCCTGTGCGTGTACCTATGTGTGTGCCTTTACGTATAGCCCTATGCATACGCATGCATATTTACATGTACACGTACATAAGCATAATGCATATCACTCAACTTGGATACGCTTCACTTCCGTTGCGGTACGCTCATTTTGAATGCGCTGCGGAATTGCCATCAGTTTGGGTGGAGTGAAGATGCGGAAAAGTTAAAAGAGGGGGCGCACGGGCGGAAGAAAAATGACAAGCAAAAAGTGGCCGGCAAAATGGGAAGGAAGTGGAAAGAAAACACCAACAAAAGGCGAAGAAATTAAAAAGGCAAGGAAAGCAAAAAAATGGGAAGAAAAAAAAAATTCACTTCATTTCACTTGATAGCATACCCAGTGTACACGGCCAAATACGCGAACACGTAATTTAACTTAACGCAGACGAAGGGAGGAGCAACAAACATTTGTGTACGCGAAGTTGAAAAAAAAAAAAAAAAAATAAATAAAAGAACGAACAAATGAACACATGAACAAACGAACAATATAATGACGCACAAAGCAATTAAAGCGGATGGAGAAACACACAGTGGGAACTGTTTCTATTTAAAATTTGATGACCGTGACATCCTTTTATGACTCGGTCAAAATGGAGTAACATTCACCCAGCGTTGTGCTTAGCGTCGTCGGAAAGGATATAACTGCCAGGGGAGTTATTCCAAAAAGGAGCAGTTGTGCGCACGAATCGATGCATACGCCGTGTGACACTACGCAGCAGCAAAGGCCCCTGCGAGGCTTCGGTCCATTCCACCAGCTGGCTCTGCTGCAGCGACAAAACGGGTGTACACAATGGCGCAAAGAATATTTCCTGCTTACACATCGTTGTTGAGCACTGTCATTATAAAACTAATTTGCTGCGTTGAATGAAGAATTATACACGGGGTATATTCCACTGGTGGAGATCACTGGCGTTTTTTAAGATGGCCAACTGGTGTGCAGATGGAGTGTCTCTTGGGGACAACTCCCCATACAACCAGTTACGGTGTAGGTACTATCACCTCCATTCTATGGAAGTGAGCAAAGACTTGTTCAGTTAATGAGACATACTTTTTCCTTTTTTTGTGTGCACAAGGCGATTCCACCGATTGTTTTTCCCGCACAAGCGGCAAATAAAGCGTTGAAAGATGCACGCTCTATGTGTCTACCCTCCCCCTGAGCTTTACACCATTGGGTAGGTTCTTTACTAATTCGCTCTGTAAATTTTTCCTATCTTGTTTCGAACTTAACAAAAATTTACCCACTTCCATGCTCATTAGACCCTTGAACAACACCAAGAATGGTTGTGTTAAAATTGGTATTCCCCTTTTTGACTAGCTAAAAAAGGGAAAAAAAAAAAAAAAAATATAGCTATATTACGGCATGAAATATGAACAGTTCATATTACTTTAAAAAAAAAAATAGCTATTTTACACAAAATTGTGTGCAAAACTATTCCACCAATGTGAAGATTAAACAATCGGACATGAGAAAAAGACTAGTAAGTAATAACCGTTGCTCGTTACCGAAAGTGAAAGAATTCTTTGCATTTGTTTTTCTCCAACTATGTGCAGTGCATCCTGAAGTAAAGAAAAGCGTGACATTAGTGAATAATTGAATGCGTCTTTGCTTCTCTAAAGTAAAACATTACTCCCTTTTTTAAATAGACGTAGTGAACAATTTGTCGCCGTTCCTTGCGCGTTGAAAGGATACACCCTTTTGTACTTCCCGGCGTTGGACCCCGTACAAACCACGCTAACGTCGTTCAAATGAGAGCAATGCGTGTGTTGGACGCCTGTAGGAAAAGGAAGATGACTTAATCTTCTTCTTCTCCCAAAACGTAGCCTTCGGTTTGAAGCAGGGACAGGGGGGCGTTCATATTCCGCAGCGTCTTTTTTTTTCTTTTTTTTTTGCTTACACGGTTTTGTACCCTACTGTCGGAATTGTTGTGTTTACCCCCGTGTGTGTAATTTTCCTTTGTTTGTTTTGTCCTAGATTGAGCAGCCGCGTCCCACCGGACTTTGTTGTGTCTACAAAATGAGGGGGAACAACGCGAAGAAGGTGCGTTACCTGGACTCAAAGGGGATGCTGCACTCGAAAGGGATAACGTACAAGTGGGGTGTAATGAACCCCAGTGGGAACAAGGAGGAGGATCACAATTTGGTGAAAGATTACAGTGAGTTGCAAAACTTACTGAGAAAGGAAGAAGAGCAACATGATGCTCTAAAAAAGCAGCTGAACCTTCTGCAAAAACAAAGGGACCTATTGCAGTGGCACCTTTGTAACAATGTTAAAAAGTTAAGTATGCAGAGAAGCGAATGTAAATTCAAGGAGCAGTTTAGTTCTAAGCTGGAAGGAAAGCTGAAGGTACTGAAGGAGAGTACGAAGATGTACAAGCTGGAACGTGACATTCTCGAGGACGAAGTGAACAAAATGGAGGAGCAACTGCAGAGTAAAGAACAGCTTAAAGCGAATGTAGAGAAAAAGTTTAATCGATGGATGGATAAAAAAAATGAATATTTAAAGGACCTAACCCAGGAAAGGAGGAGCGCATTTCAGGAGAGGAACAACAGACAAAGGCAGCTGAGAAAACTGCTTCTGGTGGTGAAGCAGGAGGGTAACAAGAGCTACGACATGGACTACCTCAAGATGTGTAAGCTTAATCTTATGCACCAACTTATTCATCACAGGGATTATAAGATGTTAGAGATGAGCATGACAAAGGGGGTAGGGTCACCTTAGTGGGCAGAGGCATATCCCTTGCCCACTTAGTGTAAACCTTGGAGTGTTGCTTTTGTTGAGTGGCTCTATCGAATGACTCGCTTGAGGGGGGTAGTCACGTGGGCGAGTCGGCTTGATCAATCCCCACCTATAACCACCTTCGCATTCGCGTTCAACTGTTTGCGCGATGTATGTGGTGTATCTCCGTCATGTTCATACGAACTGAGCGAGACGGGAAACGCGAAGGAATGCTTTTACTTGACCTCTTTTTTGTTTCTCAAATGCATATGCCCTTTGGTGCTTATCACCACACAGGGATGACAATTTCTGTGCATATAACTCTGATGCGTCTTGAACCAGAATTTAGCCTTTAAGAATTTTTGGAAGGGGGGGAATCGTTAACGATATATGTGGACCAATCCGCTTGATAACACACTGTAGGGAAAAGAAGTGCTGTCTCGTTTTTTTTTTTTTGCCTAGCACAGCAATGTTGTGGGATGTAACCCAAGGTGAGGTAGTTCTTCCCTCCTTTAATGATGGGAGCAGTGCCCCAAGGGGAAGGAAGGCAAAAGAGGGATATGAAAAATAGCGCCTTCTAATGGCTCTCCTTAAGAGTCACTTGTACATCTGCTTGGTGGATCCAAACAGAATTGTGTTCAAAACGGTTTGCATTATTGGTGGTATTTAAAAAATGGTGTTTTACAAAAAAAAAAAAAAAAAAAAAAAAAAAAAAAAAGAAAAGTGGGGGAGGTATGCTAGCTAAGAAGTGGCACCTCCACGGGAAGGGCAGCAACAGCTGGGAGGTCACACGTCAGTGTTGCAGGCACGTCTAAGGCGCTTGTGCTTCGCTTCATCATTGCGCTTCGCTTCAACTTTGCGCTTGGGTTCACCTTTGCGCATCGTCGTGCTTGAGCGTGTTTAGAATTTTGGGTAACGTAAAGACGACGCCACTGGCGTCCCCGACGAAGGCCGCGTTGATACTGGGGTGGATGCAAATGTAGCTGATGGGGGCATAAGGCTCGAAGTGCTTCTCATATGTCCGTACATAAGAAAAGGTCAAATCACCATCCATCTTTTTTATAACATTTGTCACGGAGATGGATCCATCATTACAACCTGCAATCAAAACAACCTTTTTGTTTTTCCACACAGTTGGACGTTCCAAAAGATATAAAGTGGACAGGGAGGATGTTTTTGTAACTTGGCTAGTTGGAAGTTTTTTAATTTGCTTGAGCGTTTTTGTATCCCATACAGAAATGTAATTATTACCTATTAGTAAAAAGACGTCTTCCAAGAGTTTGGAGTATTTTAAGTCCATGATGGGGCTCTTGGAAATGCACGTGTAGAGAAGCAACTGGAAGTCATATAAGTCATATACTGCTATATAACCACTTCCGAATGCGACCCACAATTCGTACTTATGCGTGACTGCTAATATGGCTGACACATAGCATTTGTTTGGCACATTGTCTTTTTTTTTTTTTTTTTTTTTTTTTTTTTTTTTTTTTT